CAAGACATGAGAGTGCCCCACAAGAGTTTCCTACACGAGTGACCCACAAGAGCGTCCTACAAAAGTGCCCCAAAAGAGTGTCCGACAAGAGTGTCCCACAAGAGCGTCTTACAAGAGTGTCCCACAAGCGTGTCCTATAGGAGTGTCCCACAAAATTGTCCCAGAAGAGTGTCCTGTAAGAGTGACCCGCAACAGTGTCCACAAGAGTGTCCTACAAGAGTGTCTCACAAGAGTGTCCTACAAGAGTGTCCCACAAGAGTGTCCCGTAAGAGTGCCCCACAGGAGTGACCCGCAAGAGTGTCCTACAAGAGTGTCCACAAGAGTGTCCCACAAGCGTGTCCTACAAGACATGAGAGTGTCCCACAAGAGTTTCCTACACGTGACCCACAAGAGTGTCCTACAATAGTGCCCCAAAAGAGTGTCCGACTAGAGTGACCCACAAGCGTGTCCTACAAGACTGTCCCACAAGAGTGTCCCACAAGAGTGTCCCACAAGAGTATCCCGTAAGAGTGTCCCACAAGAATGTCCTACATGAGTGTCCCACAAGAGTGTCCTACAAGAGTGTCCCACAAGAGTGTCCCACAAGAGTTTCCTACAAGAGTGTCATTTGGACATATGTAGCTTTTCCGTGTTTGCATTGGGGTTCGTGCGCTCCATCTTGTTTTGCAATTGCTGCGCTGTGGCATATACCATTCCTTGCCACCTCAAAATAGTATGTTCTATTATTTTGGGGTGGGTGGAGATATCCGCATCAATTTATATATTTCTGGACTCTCAGGATCTGACAAATAATTTCAAGAATGTCATAAACATTTCCAACTTGGATCCGACATGAGACCATCTGGGTGGGACCCACCCCCCCTAGAGTTGACCAAAGTTGACTCAGCTCGGATTACCACGGACAGTGTCATAATGGGCAGTTGAGTAGTCAACCGCCCTTGATGCTGCTGCTTGCTATGGTCCCACCATCCCGGCTCTGCGTGGCTAACACGAACCTCTAAGCCACTGATGGTTGTTTACGCCGGTTCTTCCTGGCTTTTTTGAATATGTTTTAACAAAATCTTCGAAAACCCAGCAGATTTGCACATGTTTTCCAATCTCTTTTCCTCTTCCACTGCTTCCTTGCTGTTTGTTCTGTCCTTTTCCACCTGTTTCTCCCGTTGGCGTCATTTAATGGGTAGTTGCGTAGTCACCCACCCCCTCAACTAATTTCATTATAGAGGTTGTATGAGGTTGTACCCTGTCTTTTTCCACCAAGTTTCCTTCATTGGGTGGTTGTGTAGTCACCCACCCTCTCAAATCCTTTTGTTATATTGGATTTGGTCGCCATGTTCCTGTACTTCCACCTTTCTCCCTGTTTCCACCTATCTGTACATGCTTTTTGTTCCAAATTATTGTCCTTTTGCTCAGTTTCCTCCCAGTGAAATGGCAGGTGTCCTCGCCTCACAAACATTCTCAGCCTGTGGACTTTGCTTCGATGCCTTCCAAAGCATTGGACCAAGTGCGCCTCCCCACTTTTACCCTCCTTCCACTTTCTTTCCTCTTCCCCCTTCCCCTGTTTTGGGCCCCTGGCCGGCTGTCGGGCGTAAGCCCTAATTTTCAGTAGACTTAACAGTTATAGCCGCCTTTGTGGGATCACAACGGAGCCCTGCGGCCGACCCGCTGGCACAATCCTGTAGCCGAGCTTCACACCACCACGAAATGGCAGGACACAAATATGGCGGGGCCATGAGGTGTTGATTCTCTGGGCGGAGCCAGGCCTCTCCCACAAGGTTGTCAAGGACTGGATGGAGAAACATCTGTTTGTCCTCCGAACACATTAATGGTGACTTTGGTTGCACTCCACCAGTTCCAGGACAGCTTCAGCTTAAACAATGGGACCTGGACTTATCGCGACCATCAACACCACGATTGAAATTAATGTTCCCAAACGATGCTCTAAATGACAATGCAACGCCTCATTCTGTTCGGCCGTGTAGCTTTCAGCTACCGCCATGGACTATCACAAGTTGCCATGGCTCTACAAAACAGGTCACACGCTAAAGCCGCTAAAGGCTGCTTGAGCACCTCGCAAATAACTTTAAATCATGAAGGGAAGCTGCAAGTCGCTAAAAGTTCCATGATCGAATGCACGTTCATCAGTCCACCGTCTTTCTTCTCGACTCCGAGCAAGCTGACGCGAACCCCCAGCCATCCACAACAATGAAGAAAACAAGTAGGCCATACAATGTCTTCTCAACAAACATTTACACGAGATGTGTTCTTTCAAACATGTTGTTGACCTGATGAACATGCTGAAATGGGTATGGCCTTGGAGGCTGACCCATTGCTGCTTCGCCTCTGCGCTGCAGCGACTCAACCCGAAAGGCATCGAAAGGCCTGTGAAACCGTTTTGGCTTTGTGATGCGCATTGCCAACATTGCTTCAACCCAGATCAGTGGTGGAGAACCACAAGTGCTCCAGGCTCCAAGGCCCACGCTCCTTCCATTGCTCTTCCAAATCCTTCAATGTCTGCTCCGAGAGGTTATGATCCGGCCAGGCGATCGGCTTCACGCTGGGATTCTTCGACTTTTCAGAAAGCTCTTCCAGGTCCACGTCAGCAGGCGGTGGCACTCGCGGACGGATTGCCCACTCCTCGAAACGGCCCCCCCGACCAGGCCCCGCCGCTCTGTATTCGGCACGAGCCAGTCGATCATAGGTGAGGGTCACTTTTCGGGACGTTGACTGCAGTGCATAGCGCCCCTCACGAATGTACCTGGTAGCCGTCCGAATTCCATTGTGCCCATGCAGTTCCGGGTCCCCCGCGTGAACTGGGTACTTGAGGTCCCAGGAAATTAGTTCGGTTCTTTCAAGCCAAGCACCGCCCCGGTGGAACAAGTAAAGCCTCCTCATTCTTTCAAGAAATTCATCATGTTCCGCCACTTCATCAGGAAAGTTTTGCCAGCACACGAAGCAGTCTTCTTCCGGGAAAGGGCAACTGCTGGGCAAGGGAACTCGGGAGAGCTTGGACTTCAGCAAATCGAAAAGAGGTAGACTCAATTCGAGAGGATTGAATGCTGGCCGCAGCTCAGCAATGGATGTAAAGAGGCTGTTTTGGTCTGTGTCCCAAACCGAAGTTTCGAAGGCTCCTTGGTAGCGCACTGGCTTGAGCAAAGATGAGACAGCTGGAGATTTGCCGCGGGATGGCGACGATTGCGATTCCGGTAGGTTTTTCGAAACAGATCGTCCAGTACTGTCCAACTGTTTGTCCGTTTCATTCTGATTGTTCTTTTTTGATTTTCTTGACTGAATGTCTTGAACCAAATTGGTGGCTGCTGTCGTTTGAGCTTCTCCACGGGCTTCCCGCTCGTCGAATTGGCCTTGTTTCAACCTGCATGTGGCCAAATGTGCGAGCCATCCGCCAGGTAACAGCTTGTTGACCACGACAGCCAGGAGCTGAGCTCGCGTAATGCTTTGGTACAAGCCGGCCCGTGCTGCCAAAGTGGTCAAATCGGCGGGGCCTGTGTGCATCGGGCCAACAATGACTCTCATCACATCTGCTGTTGCATGATGTTGAGTTCAAACAAGTTAGCACCTTTACAGCCTTTACACAAATATATCATACAACTGCATTGCGGGAGATGAGTCCACTGGTGAAGAAGGCATCAGGGAGGATTCGTGATGGGAGTTCTCAACTCGGCTCCGACCTACAAACTTTACAGTTTCCCTGTCCCGAGCACCTTTTGATTTGATCTCTGCATCCATTCCAACTACTATGACGATGAGCTGCTCTAATCCCTTAGCATTGTCAATGGAATCCAAAATCATATGCTCCTCTTTGGAGTCCTGTTCTGCCACACTTGACGAGACCAGGTAGGAGAGCGAATCCTCGAAGCTGATGAGGCCGAGTCTTTTTGAGAGCTTTCGACACGTAATCTCTTCCTGGAGCTTCTTTTTCAAAAGTGGTTTAAGTTTGCCGAGAAAATCGGAGTGTGGCACAATAATTGCCACGTTGTGGTGAAGGCTCAGGTCTGGGTATGATGAAACCACGTGCTTGAGAGCCGCAATGGTGTAGTGGCAATAGTCATTGAACAGTGGTGCTGCCTCTTTCTTTGGTCGTTCAAAAATAAAAGTTTTCAACGGTGGTCCTTTGGAACCAATAGACGTCACCTCAGTTTTCTCACTCTGCTCATGTTCAAAACTCAATTGGAAGGACTTTGCGCCCAACGCAACTCGCTCGGTGCTGCGCACAGTCTCCGTGAGGTAGACTTCATCATAGTGACCAAGCTCGTGGAAATTCTGCTCCAATGCCGAAGACTGAGATAAATCGGAAAGTAGGATAGATTGCTTGGATCTCTGCAATGTCTCTTTCAGGTGCTTCTGAACAACACGTGGGCAAAAAATATCATGAGCCTCATCCACCACTGCAAGGATGAGCTCCCTTTCGGCTGTGTTTTTCTCCTCTTGAAATGTGATTCTTCGTTTGTTGTCAACGATTCTCACCGTCATGAAGCATTTGAAGGGATTGTTGTACATGACCTTCAGGCGAGCACACACAAGCTCTTCTGCACGGCCTCCAGTATCCATCATCAATAGCAATCGCACAAAATGGAGGCAAAGCGTCTTGCAGGGGGCTACAAACAAAACTTGTCCTTCAGGATGCCCAAGCAAAGTGTTGACAACCTTCTGCGCTGCCACAAAGGTTTTACCGGAACCTGCGGCCGCTTTCAAATGGATTCTGTTAGACTCATCAAGCTTGGAGAGTCGATCTTGTTGATGCGGGGTGAGTCTCGTAGAGCTCATGAGCATGCTTTTGTAAGCTTTCACAAACTCCGTCTTGTTGACCTGTAGCTGCCAATAGTCAATCTCATCATTTAAGCCAGCCGTTTCCGTCTGATTCTTGAAGGTTTCTTTGTTGATCGAGACCTCAAAATTGCCAGACAGAACATCGCTGCATAGTTTTTGGAGGGATCCGACATCTTGGCTTCGGATGTCAAAGGTCATGGCAGGGGTGCCATCCTGGAGCCACTCCTTCCTGGGGCAGGTGCTGATGACTGTCTGACCTTCTTGGAGGCAAACGTTCAAAGCCCCGATGAAATCCTGCCGTATCAACTTCTCCTCGAGCTCGTCCATTTCACCATTGTCAGGCCGGATTCGGCTGGTTTCAAAACAGTCCTCAGATTCCTGACATTGCACTGCCCACTTGAAACTGACATCTTCCTTGTCCTGTGGCTCGAGCTCTCTTTTGCTCGCGATTACTCCCCTGGTCCACTGACGCTTGCCCTCGTTCCAAGCCAGGACCTTCTCGCCAATTTGCAAGGATCGATGAATGAATTCCATAAAATCCATCTCTTCATAGGGCCAATTCATGGCATCCATGGTCGCGACTTCCATCTTCTGGGATCCTCCAAGACCTCGGTTTGAGGAGTCTGAGTCCCACAGAGACACGTCAGGGTTCGACAAGTCTTCCATTGTGGCCTTGCCCATGCCAAGCATCCCGGGATAGTAGACCACTACGGGTGTTTGTCCTGCTTTCACTCCTTTCTCCGTGTTCTTGTACCAAACCTTGGCTGCGCTTCAATCCCCGACTTTCATGTCAAGATCTACTGAAGGAGAACAGCAAAGCTTTGCAGAAGAGAAACGTCATACCAAAAACAACCCCAAGCTGGACGTTCACCATGCTCTGACCATGCTCTTTTGGCATCTTCAACCGCCTTACGGTATTCCTCTGGACTGGCATCTTTGCGGACAAGAATGGCATTCATGGCCTTCGCCGTTTCTTCAGCATTCTTCATGTGCTTCTCATCATCGTATGGCGGTCCCACTTCGAAGAGGTACCCAAACCTCGGGACTGCAAAGATTGTGCCTATGGCCTATGGTCAAACATGTTTGGGGCAAAATATTATAAAGAAAAGGAACAAACATTCACTTAAAAGCAAATCCAGGACACGTGTGAAAATTTCTGTTCGTAGGGTTTCCCTTTCCGCAGATCCGCCAACAGTAACAGGGCGCAGCGGGGTTCAGTGGGTCGGGAACGTGCACACCCAAACCATCTTTTCGTTTGCAACAATACACACAGGCCGCGCTCTGGTCACTGTACTCACCGTCATCCCTGACGAGTATCTGCCAACCACCTTTGAATTTGCCTGGGTAGGACACGAAACACTTCTTTGCTCCAGCTTTGAAGCGGCCGAGGAATGTTGTCTCTTCCATGTTGCGCAGCACGGAAGGCCGCTCTTTCACTGTGAAGCGAAGTGGTAAAACCGCCCCCAAGTGGAATGACAAGATCTGGGTGGCCTCATCCAGCTTCTGATTGTCCAAAGACTGGTAAGCACTTGCAATCTCTGGGTGGTCTGCACCATGCTGCGCTGTACTCTCCTCGAATATCTGCAAGGCCTCCTCGAATCTCTGCGTTGCCGCAACGCCCGAGTCGAGTAAAGATCTTGGCCGATCAATTTCTTGATTCTGGCCCCTTTCTTCGCGCTCCTCCATCAGCACCTTCTGCTTGTCCTACGTGCGTGCCAAAGTTGATTCATCTTCCTTCTACCCAGGTGCCGAAGGCGGCTTTCATTCTTGAGACGAATTCAAAACTTGAAGGCCGAGATCCCAAATGATAACCATGTTGCAAGTATTCAACACTTGATGATAAAACTTTGCGTTTTTGAACACTTAGGAAGTAGCTGCGCGCAAGTCGAACAAACTTGTGGAGAGCCTTTTGTGTTTCACATACGTGGTGGCTCTGTCTATTTTGGCCGCCGAAAGACAAGCCAGAAGTGTTCAGCCGAACAAAAACTCACTCAGAAACGACATGCTGGGCTCAAAACGAACCTTTCACATAGTGACTTAGCGTTGTCGTCACACACCAAGCGAGGGATTGGCAAAACACACAAAGAGGAGAACCAAGGTGGAAGCTCTTGCCAAGATAATCTCGCACACATTGATATCTAACCAACTCAGAAATGAGGTATCGTGACATCTGTAGACGTCGTTGTTCAATCCTGGTGAGCTTCTTGGAGCTTGGTTTGTCCCCAAATCGAAGCAAACACAGAAGAATGACTTGCAAACTCGGTAGTGCCAATGCTGCACCTTCTCTTGCCCAACTTGCCCCGCCTCTCTATGAGTCAATTCCTGTGTTTCTCTCTTCGATGCTTCAAGCTTCTCTTGTAGTGAACGAACCTGGTCAGCCAAAAAAGAAAGGCATCTATTTCTGCATTGGCAACATCAGATTTCATCTGTTTCTCCTTCTGCAAGTGCTCTTTCTTCGCTTCTTCAAGTTGTCTGTTAGACGCCTGAGATCAGCACTGCACACCAAGGCACACAAGCTGAAAGCCGTGAATCGTGAGTCAGTCATGTGCGAATGCTGGGAACCACGGCCATATGGAGCCACTCAGCTTCGTCATTGCAAAATCCGCTGTTCTTCTCCTTGTAGGTGGTTTATGAAGTTACTTTGTAGGCCAACTACCAGTTTTGGGACACGCCACCACTGGATGTTGAGTGCGAACAAACACCTCCATCACAGGAAGCTGTGCCAGCCTAAATCGTGCTGCCAAAGCCCCTGCCTCAAGGGCTTCCTGTAGCTCTGCCAATTTCGTCGCAAACTCTTCACGCAAAGCCTCCTGCAAAAGAAGGAGTTGTAATGCAAAGAAAGGGGTTGACAGGTGCTTGTAACATGACAATACTTAGACATAAGCTGTAATTTGTATTGTGTGGGACATCAACAACTAGTGTGATACGATTGCCATTATGGCAACAGTATGAAGCAGGATGCACTTCTTAAGACAAAAGTGCTGGGTATCCAAGCTCAATTTGAGCTGCGTGAGAATCAGTGTAGGATGGCTGAAATAACTGAAATAATTACTACACGGACGACCGCGACATCTTACAAGACCATGAGTCTCCAAGCCTCCAAACTCTGCTTGATGCCCTCACTTGCTTCAACTCCCCTTTCCTTCGGCAACTGGCTGCGAGCGTGCAAAGCGACTTCGTCAAGCATACCCGCAAAAACACCTGAAACCCGTAAGCCCATTTGCCCTGGGGAAATCGGTGCAAATGCCAAAGGGCAACACACTGCGAAGGTGAACCAACTAAGTTGGCCGCGGTGGGTCATGTTTATAAACAAGTAAACCACACGATATGATATAGTGGTCAATTTTGTATAACTTTGTCACATTCACTGCAAGGTTGTTTGGGGGTCAGAATTTGACCCAGTCTTCTTGGTATGCTTTTCTTGGCCACTTCCCCCAAGCCTCCCCGCCTCACAAGAACCATCACTGCTCTCGCTGGTGGAACAGGTTACCTCCAGCATGTTCAATGTTGGTGAATCCGTGCATTTTGACTCAATTAAGGGAGCCTCTTCAAAAGCCAACTAAACAGACTCGGGTTTCGTTCGCTTGCAATTCCCCCTCGGCTTAGGCACCCACCCAGAACAAATCATAATGAATCGCAAATAGCGTTGCCAGTTGGCTGGCATTACATACAGTCAGCTTATCATGAACATCTTCTTGAACTGCTACTAGGTTGAAAGAACGTCCTAGCGCCGCTACCACAGAAACTTTGACAGTCAATGGACATATACGGCATCCAGTCTCATCAAACAGGCCATCAGTCTGATACATCCCAGCCAAAGTTACGGGAGTCGTGCTGATGCAAAACCGTTTAGCCTAGATTCCCGGACCTTCTCGTCATCGTTCAAAAGCTTTTCGACCAGGTCGGAATACTTGTAGCCCTTACCTTGGCAACGAATGAAATCACTAACTGCGTGCCTTACAAAAAAAACTAAGGCCACAGGGTAACATCCATGAACCCAGGATATACACGTGTGTCTCCACTGATCCAAGCGTTCAGTCACTACTCCCGTGTTAGCTTTAAGTGAGGGGTCAGCGGCATTTTTCAGTTCCACACAAAATCCGGGCGCTGGCCCCGGTGCCCGTTCCCTTGCCGGAGGCCTTCGGTTGGTAACCGAAGGTTGTATACGCTCGCCGCCCCTGCCGCCGACCCTTTTGTTGGACCTCTGCCCGACCCCCGCCCTACCCCCCGCCCGACCCCCGGTCGAATCCGGTCGACAGATTTATATGTAATTTACAGTGCTTCGTGTGTGTGAGGTATAAAAAGCACTGTGTTTTACAGGGTTTTGGGCCCCTCCGCTGAGAATTTCATCTTGGCGATGTTAAAAAACGTCGGTTTTTCCATGGTTTTTGCTTTGTGGGAAGGAAAAAATCGGAAACAGTTGTATCGGAAGATTTTTTTCAACATAAATTGCCTAACATATCCCCAACATAGGCCCAAGATAGCCAACATATCCCCAACATATGCCCAACACAGCCTCCAAGATGGCTCAACATAGGGCCAACATAGGCCAACATGGGGCCAACATACGCCAACATAGGCCCAACATAGGCCCAACCTAGGCCAACATAGGCCAACATAGGCCAACCTAGGCCCAACATAGGCTCAACTTGGGCTCAAGATGTGCCCAACATAGACCACATGGGCCCAACTTGGCCCAACCTAGGCCCCGGCTGTCAGGCGTAAGCCTCATAAATCCGCGTTGTCCCTAGCAAGCTAGCTTTGCTATACGGAGGCGCACCCCATGCCGCCGACCTCTTTTCTAGCATCATTCGTCAAAAAACGTCGAACACACCGGGAGAATGACCAAATGGCTTCAAAACTTCAAAGCCTCTAGAAATTACACCAGCATCGATGCTAAATTTCATAATCAAAGCGCTATAAGGAAAATGAAAAACATAAAAGACTTATAAGGTTTTGGGATGGGTTGGCTCTACCAAGAGATGCTTGTTCAGGATGTTGGTGGGTTCACAGGGTTTTGTTTGTTTCATGTCAGCCCGTGTTTGTCAAGCAGCTGTGGCAAACAGCCTTGCACACCTTTTCAACTCGTGTGGCTGCTGTATTGCTTTGTCGCGCGAGTCACAGACACATTCCCTCAGTATCTGTCGCTAGCATCAGCGCCTCTCCAGAAACATAAACAAAATCTTGTTGATAGAAGAGAACAGTTGAACAAACATAACTAACCTCACTTACAGTGGAGGCAACATAATCAAACAAAAGTGGAGATCGCCGACTATTCAGTTCAGGATTTGTTCAAGTGGCTAAAGAACGGCTGAGTTGGTTCAACTGTGCCAGACCCAACTCTAATAATCCTAAAGCTACTCATCTGTTCAGAAAAGAAGCCCTTGGAAAAGGCTCGCTACGAAAGCAAAGTTCCTAGGAAGACTTAGCCCTTTTCTGTCCGTGCAAAAGATCACGCACAGATGATGGCCGAGCAGAAAGAAAATCATCAATCACCTGATTTCCAGTGCGCTTCCCTCCAGAACCTTGGAGGCAAAAAAATAATGAACATTCAAAACCAGCTGAGAAATCGAACGCCTGCCTGAACAAACAAATATGATACAAAATCATACAACATCAATGATGATGTTGACAATCAAGTTGCCTTTGTTGACTCCAGCTTTTGCCTTTGGCTTGGCTGAGGCTTTCTTGGCTGCGGCTTTCTTGGCTGCTGCAAGAACAGAGGCTTTTGTCTTGGCGGTGGAGGCCTTTGCTTTTGCATGGGCAGCAAATGACTTCTTCTTTGGAGAGGCTTTGGTTTTGGGCTGCCGGGATCGTGCTTTGGGTTTTGCTGCTGGCTTTGCCTTGGGCGGCTGAAGCTGCTTTGCCTTTGGCTTAGTCAGAGACGCTGCAGCCGCAGCAGCAAGGGACTGTGGGTTCCTCGTATCAGAGACTGCATCTTGTGGGTCTGTGTCGGTGTCTTCTTGCATGGAAGCTTCTGACTCTGACCCGGAATCAATTTGCTCATCTTCTGAAGAGTGAGCCTGCTCGGCATCTTGTGGCACAGTCTCAGCCGGTGTTAGCTTCTGGTGTGTGCTTTGGCCTTGCTCGCCAGGTTCATTGGTTTGTGGTGCCAGTCCTTTGGCATCTGGTGAGCCTGTCGAGCCATGTGTAACTTCTGCTTCTGCCTGCTCTATTGTTTCTGCGGCTGCAGCCGGGTCTGTGTGCGAAGCTTCTGGTACTGGTACAGCTGCTGCTGCTGCTGCTGCTGCTGCAGGTCCAGTGGTTTTTGGCAATGGTTCTGGCTCAGATGCTGGCGATACTGGAATTGCATACCCAACATCAATCATGTTCGCAAGCCTGATACTGAACTCTTCATCTGTTTCTTCTAGCTTTGCTTTTGCTTCTGATGAGGCCATAGCCATAGCTGCTGGAGCTGCTGCTTCCTTAGCCTGTGCTGTTGCTCCCTCGGCTGCAGACATCATCCCAGGATCAGCTGCTGGATCTTCTGGCGCAGCTGGCATGACTGGGACTGAAGCACTCTCTTGATGCCCCTGAGGCGGTTGCGCTGCTGGTGTTTCCTGCGCTGGATCTGGACCTACTGGCAGTGCAGCTGCTGTCGGTGTGTCTGCTGGCGAACCGTCTTCAATGGCAAGGAGCCCTTTCCCATCTATCTGACTCTGCTTCCGCTGCTTCTTGTTTTTCTTGTCCTGCTTCTTGCCCTCCTTGTGTTTCTTGTCTTTCTTGTGTTTGTTTCCTTTCACTTTCTCCTTCTTGGCCTTCTTGCGCTTTCTGTGTGCATCCTCCGAGTCATCCTGATCCTCTGCAGACCCTGCGTCATCATCAGCTTCATCTTCTTCTTCCTCACTCTCACCCCCATCGTCAGATTCTGCACCAAGTACACGTGTGACATGCATGCCAGACTTTACAATTGCGGCGTCCTCCACATCTGCTGTGGTTGCGGTTGTCAGTAGTGCCAGTGCCTGCTCCATATTGCACTGCTCAATGTCCGGCAGCTGCAGCTGTGCTTCCTGCAGCTCCTTCTTGCTTTTCGACATCATGGAAGTCGGATGGCTGGAAGATTGAGACAAACGAAGTTGGAGTTCCTTCAGCTTTTCCTGGTCCTGGTCCTGGCCCACTTCATTCTCCTGGGTCACTTCATCACCCTTCCCTTCCGAAGTCAGGAAGACCAACTCACCTTTAGATCTCTCCTCCAATTCGTCTTTCAGTGGAGACAGCACATCAATGAAAGCTCTTGAAGTATCCCACCTTGGCATGCTCAAGAAATAGGAAGGAGGATGAGAATGAGCTCATGAAAAGGAACATTGTCATGTCAAAAGAGCAAAGCCTATAATTGACTCTCGATATAGTTGCCGTCAAGTGGCGCTTGGTTGAATCCACTGCAAAGCTGGAGCTTGTCCAAGCTGTTGTCCTCTGCAACAACCACAGTTGCACGCAACCCAACGGATGATTTGCCAACCCCGCCAGAATCTTCCATGGCTTTTTCTACTACCAAGCTCCCAGCAGGGTAGTAGATGATGTCTCCAGGCGTCAAGTAGTACGAACGAAGGGTGCAAGTATGGATTTCATCTGTGTACAAACTTTGCAGAAAATTTGCTGTCAAGACGTTCTCAAGAAAGTTGACCAACTCTGCAAGGCTTGGGTTGTCTGTCGACGGCGGTGCATTAGGTGCATTCTGCGCATCCAGCCAGTACAACCTGACAAATGATTAAAAAAACACCAACAACTTACAGTAGCAGTGGCGTTGGCGTTGGCAACATCATTTTTTGAGGCCAAGTATGGCTGAAGTTTGCATCTAGTTGCCAAGCTGAAAACTGATCATTAGTAAAGAGACAGCAACAGCAAAAGAACAGCCAGCCAGCCAGCAGCTAAAGTCAGCCAAAGTACTCATAAAGACCTTTCAGCTCGTAAACGTCAATGGTCACGCCAACCTTGCAGCCCTCGATCTGGTAGTGCATTGCTGGGCAACCTCCTAGTGAGGGAAAACCACCTAATGTCTAATAGCAGTGGGTCCGTGGGTCAAAAAAAGATTTGGGACATGTGGTCATGTGGTATGTTGCAAGTTGTCGTCACAGTCCTTGCACAAATTGGGTGAAGCTCTCTCCACGCAAGATTGACTGGAACATAAGCCCGTTCAGCTTTGTCAGGTTCTTGTCCAGGAGAGCCTTGTTCTCAACGTCCGATATGTTAGCAGGAAGGTTGCCCATCCTGACCAAATGCTCCAACATGCTCCAACAAGTTGTCCAATGTTATTTTTGTGGCTGGCGGCTGGAGGCTGGAGGGGGGGGGCCCTCGTGCTAATCACTGTGGTTGGGTCAGGGTCATTGGTTTAAGCAAAAAATGTCAAACAAAGCGCATCAATTGAATGTCCGAGAATCACTGCCAAACCAAGCTCGCCACGATCCAGAATGACGGGCAATGAACTACACTGCGGGTCAGCTTGCTCCAAAACACGCCGCAGCATCAGATCCATAGCCAACAAATCACCTGGGCCTTCTACTGTCTTGGTGAGTCTGCTTTTCCTTCCATGTGCCTGCGCGCTCGCTTTCTCGACATCATCCTTGAAGTCAGCGATTTGTCCTGCAATGTGTTTGCAGTGGGAGCTGAGGGTGCCTTGAGGCACAGCTTGGGAAGCCTTCAGAATCTTTTTCATAGGCCCCTTCTTCAATCTCGCCATAGTGGGAACCTTGCCCTGGTCTGCAAGCAGACGTTGGGCAAACACATCAACTTCAGCTGTGATCTCGATGGACAGGGCAGCAGGAAACTTCTCTCGGAGAATTGGAACATCAGCTTCCTGAAGCTTGCCAGCACCTGGCCCTCTACCTCGCCTTCTTCCCTTGCCCTCCGGCCCCGGCTCCTCAGGGATTTGCTCTGCGTTCTCCCTTGCGAGCTTCTCCTTGGCCAATTGTTTCTGTTCCTCCTTC